ATCGCCATCCTCCTCCTACTCCCCATCACCATCCTCCTCCTCCTCCTCCTCCTCCTCCCCATCGCCGTCTTCTTCCTCCTCTTCGATCGCCACAGCGGCCACACGAATTGTTGTTGTTGTTGTTGTTGTTGTTGTTGTTGTCGTTGTTGTTGTTGTTGTTGTTGTTGTTTTTTAATGAGAGACTGACACGTGGTGATTGGTTGTGCGACTGCGTGTGCGTGTGTGGGAGGCAGGCCACATCAGCAAGTGTGACATCAGCTCTCAGCGCAAGTCCCGTGTAATAGTCCAACAACCGCCAAATTTGCAACATGACAAGTGCAACTTCAACTGCAGATGCTGGGAGGGAGCCGTTCAGGGAGGATCCGACATTTCGCGGTAACTTCTGTGTGTGGTCGTGGGTGTCTACTGGGCAGAAGCTGAAGGAGACCACTCGAGGTGGTCGTCGCCTGAAATGCAAGTTGTGCGGCCGTGAGTTCAATGGGGGACAACCGTGTGCAGTTGAGCACTTCATTTGGAAGAGGCCGACTTCACGTTGCCCTCATGGGACACTGGTTATCTGGAGGAGGCTGCATGTTGTCGGGGTGGTATTGCCTGCAGACTTGCTGGAATTGGTGCGGGCAGCGGAGGAGGAGGATAACAACACCGGTGATGGTGGTTCGGAGGGAGGAGATGTCGGGGCAGACGTTGGGGACGAAGGAGGGAGACAAGTGGGAAGGGGTGGAGAGCCGGGTCCGCAGTCTTGCAGTGGGGTGGAGGATGATGGGGGGAGGGCTGTCGATGTGCGAGGTGCATGTCGGGGGGAAGCAGGCCCTTCTCGTGCTAATGCACTGCAAGCACGAGTGTGTAATCGCGGGCAGATGAAGCAGAGTTCCATCACGAGGTGGGTCAAAAACCCACGATAAGAGGACATTGATGAGAGCTGGTTCTTTGTGGAGAATGCAATCCCCTTCAATGTGGCGAAGAGCAAGTCCTTCAAGAAGTTCGTGAACACATGCTATGGACCACAACCTGCTGCCAAACATCCCCTGGTCCCCACTGGCTACAACCCTCTGCGGAGTTATCTTCTCGATGGCTTGAGGCAAAGGTTGAGCGAGGAGGAGCAGGCCATCATCGATGATAGGGAGGTCACTGACTGCACGTTCATCACTGACGACACCACTGACATCTGTGGGCGGTCATTGGTGAATTACATCCTCGCAGGGCGTTCGAAGCCACTATTCGTCAAGTGTGAGGACGTCAGTGATCAGGACAAGGACGTCGGTGCAGTTGTTCGTGGATGGAATAACTTCTTCACGGAGATTGGGGTTGAGAAGATCACGACCATTTGCACTGACTCCTTCTCAGGGAACAAAAGTGCGGCCACGATGTTGAGGGCGGATCCAGAGTTCCAGCAGATATACTGGATCCCTTGTACTGCACATTGCATGGACTTGTTCATGCAGGATGTGGGCGACAAGCCGTGGGCTAAGGCCGTCATCAAGAAGGCGAATATGGTCGTGAAGTTCTTCAGGAACCACAGGTGGCCACGATCAATGTTGAGGACGGAGCTGATGTCACAAAAAAGTGTGAAGGTCAGAGTTCTTCTTCGTCCTGCCCTTACGAGGTTCGGGAGTCGGGACCCACTTCGTCATGTTGGATCGACTGTTGACATGCGAGAGAGCCCTTCGTCGCTTGGTGTTGGGGGACTCGTGGACGAACATGGATTGGCAACCGTACATCAGGACGAACGCTTATGAGGTGGAGTCCCTCATCACCGACAGGGCATTCTGGGCAGATTTGAAGAAGCTGCATTGAGTGATGAAGGGGCCCTATGATGTGCTGCGGATGGTCGACAAGGACATCCACTGCTTGTCCAGGGTGTACGACGCTGTCGTGGACCTGAAGAATTGTGTTCTTCATGCACCACTCACAGACGATGAGCGGGACAACATCTTGGCAATGCGTGATATGGGAAAGAGGACGGACATGCTTCTCAGCCCTGTTCATGCTGTGGCTCGCTTGTTGGACCCTCGATTGCGGGACATCAGCGTCTTCAACAATTTGGACTTCATGGCGCAATTCGATAGCGTGGTGGACCGTCTCGTTGCAAAGAATGGGAGTCAGAAGTTCACGGACTGCAAAGACCAGCTATACGACTTCCAATTCGGCAGAGGGATCTTTGGTGACGCAGCAGCGTTGAGGAGGGCAGACAAGGACAATGAAGTGTTGTGGTGGGAGGCACACAGAGGTGGTCATCCGGAGTTGAAGATGCTGGCCATGAAAGTGCTTTCAATATGGACCACATCCTCTCCTGCAGAGAGGAACTGGAGCACGTGGTCCCTCGTGCAGACGAAGACGAGGAACCAGTTGAAGCACCAACGTACAGGTGGTGGACGAGGATCTCGAAGGCGAGGCAATTGGCATGCTTAATGTGGAGGACGATGATGCAGTCAGGCATGGAGCCACTGGATCTGAGAGGGGCAGCACCAACATCATCACTGCGCATCGTGCAACTCAGAGCACGACGCATAGACCGGATGTCTTCGAGGAGGAGGAGGAGGAGGAGGAGGAGGAGGAAGAAGAGGAGGAGGACGAGGACGAGGGAGATGAATTCCCTCGCGAGGAGTGGCGCAATGACAAGTCCGACTCGGATAGGTCGTGGACGAGGAGAGAGGGCATTCTACCGTACACACCCGGCCCGCGTTTTAGCCACTGGATTGCATCATTGAATGCTCGGGGCTAGCAAGAGGGCCAACAACACGAGGAACGACATGATGATGATGAGGAGGAGGAGGAGGAGGAACACGAGGAGCTGCAGCAGCAGCAGGAGCAGCAGCAGCAGCAGCGGGAGTGACAGCAGCGGGAGCGGCAGCAGCAGCAGAGGGAGTGGCAGCAGCGGGAGCGGCAGCAGAGGGAGCGGCAACAGCGGGAGCGGCAGCAGCGGGAGCAGCAGCACGAGGAGCAGCAGCAGGGGGAGCAGCAGGACGAGCAGCAGGAGGAGCAGCAGCACGAGCAGCGGCAACAGGGGGAGCATGAGGACACCGAGCGGCAGCAGCGGGACGAGGAGCAGCAGAAGCAGCAGAAGCGTCAGCAGCAGCAGCAAGAGCAGCAAGAGCAGCAGCAGCAGTAGCAGGAGCAGCAGCAGCAGCAGCAGCAGCAGGAGCAGAAGAAGCAGCAGCAGCCGCGTGCATTCTACGGTCCGAGCTGACCCTCACAGCTGCTTGGTCGTCTGGGGGCCACCTCTGGTTCCACCTGGGATCCTCTCAGCTATCAACCTCCACGGGGCGGGAGAGGTGGACGAGGAGGTGCATCGACTGCGAGAGGGAGAGGAGACGTGGCTCCTAAAAGAGGCAGAGGGCGTCCTCGTTTCGGATCCTCGAAAGGCAAAGGACGCCCACCTGCACAGGCAAAGTACCAGGCAGGGGAGGAGGCACCTTCCAAATGAGGCGAAGGGCCTCCTGCTTCGGGATCCTCGAGAGGCAGGGGCCGACCGCGCTCTGCCCCCACACAGGCAGACGAAAGGGCTGAGGAGGGGCAGGCAGAGGAAGAGGAGGAGGAGGAATCAGACGAGGAGAAGCCGCTTCGCAGATAAAAAAAATGGAGGATGGCACCAACTGATGGGGAGGGACAAGCACAGAGAGAGAGAGAGAGAGAGAGAGAGAGAGAGAGGTTTGCAAATAACCTTGTCAAATGTTGCTGTCGGACTCAGGTTGAGAAGAGAAGATGTGTTTGGGAATCTGAGTTTTGTGCATGTGTGTGTGACTTGCCATGGCTGCTGTACACCCTGTCTGCATGTTTGTCAATCAGTCCGTCTGTTTGTCACTCTGTCACCTTGTCAAGTCAGTATGTCTGTCATGTCTACCTATTGGTCAGTCTATCTATCTGCCTGTCTGTCCGTTTGTTCGTTAGTCTGTATGCCAGACTTGCAAACAGACTCGCGTGACAAGGTGATTGAGTGAAAGACAGACAGACAGGTAAACAGGCACACAAACACGGTCACAAGTCACATAGATAGTTCAACGTCTGTCTGTCTTCCACGGACGCCAACCTGTCTGTGTGACTTGTCAACGTGTCTGTGTGCCTGTTTGCTTGTCTGTCTGTCTGTCACTCTGTGCCACGTCAGTCTCTGTGCAAGTTTGTCAAGTCTGTCTGTCAGTCACTCTGCTGCTTTCTGGTTCGCCTGTGGCCACATCGTGATGTGTCGGCCTCACAAGGCATGTGGCCAGGGCACAACCACCCGGGCCCTGGGCTCAAATGCCCGGTGCAGTCGCTATCTGCTCTTTGCTTGACTACTTGGACTCCATCGTGATTTGCAATTTGGATTTCTGTATTTCGCTCTCGGTTCCAATGTGCTATCTGCTCTCGGTTCCAATGTGGTATCTGCTCTTTGCTTGACTACTTGGACTCCAGCATGATTTGCAATTTGGATTTCTGTAATTGGCTCTCTTTGCATAAGGGTGTGAGGACTGAGCTCTCAAGGGGCCTTGCCAACATGCACATGCACTGGGCTAGGGCCCCCAGCAAGCCTCGTGCCCGCAATAAGTGAAGGCGGGCCTGCAAATTAACGAGAGGCCTTGCATTCAACATTTCACGAAGTGGGTGCCAGACAGTTGCTGCACGCCAGTTGGTTGGAGTGCGCCGAAGTCCAGATCCCTGCAAACGCAGAAGGCCCAGGGCTACCAAAGTTGGTTAGGCCCTGGGCGTGTATACGTGAGGCCGACATTGCATGCTGGACGTGGAGGCCGAAAATGCTGGGCGTGTATACGTGAGGCCGACATTTGGATTTCTGTGCTTCGTCCACTTTCATGTTCCTTGCAAGGGTCTCTCGTGAATATTCAGGCCCGCCTTCACTTAGGGTGGGCACGAGGCTTGCTGGGGGTCACAGTCAGAAGACTCAGAGGCTTGCTGGGGGCCACAGTCAGAAGACTCAGAAGTTCTGAGTCTTCTGACTGTGGCCCCCAGCAAGCCTCTGAGCCAGAACATATGCATGTTGTCCAGGGGGCCCTGACAACACATTCCTCACATCTGTTCGACCTTGGAAGTTCCCAGTAGACT